GGAAGGTTTATAAAGTGCAATGCTTCTTTCACATTTGTTTACTATAAAAACTGAAACCGTTTTTTATTTGGCATTTTATAATGGCTTCCTTCTTCAATAATTCCCTTTGATTTTTTTAAAAATGATAGACATACACCATCTATCTACTACTATCCTTAGATATTATGCAAGATAGTGGATCATGTGGCAGAGTAGAGGATTTCACTTCAAATTCATGTTTTCTGTAATTATGTCACTTTGCTTCTAATTTCAGACTTTTATCTTAAAATCAACTGTACATGTGTTTCTTTTAATTCCGTTTTGCACTAGAAGTTTACTGTATAGTTTTAATGCAGATGGTATATAACTAATTTTCATTGTTTCTTTCAACAGGCACCAGTCAATGTGTAATGAATGCATATGTGAGATGACCCTTACAGATTAGGCCAGTACACACTTGCAAATGTAACCCTGTATTTAGTATTCCTTGAATTTGTGATATGATATCTCCACACACCACTGTTTTACAAAAAAAAAAAAAGAAGGAAAAGAAAAAGAAAACCATTGCAGGCATTACACTGTTAAGGTCCAAGACTTGCTAATACTTCTGTAATCCTTCCAAATGGCACATAAATCAGAAGTACAGAGGGACAGCAGGGGCTGTGGTTAGCACACTGGGTTAAACCTCCAGCTATGGAAAATCTTGCCAACCAGAAAGTTAGCAGTTCAAGCCACGGGTGGGGTGAGCTCCTGCTGTCAGCCCTAGTTTCTGCTTACCTAGCAGTTTGAAAACAGCAATGTAGTTAGATAAATAGCTACCACTGTTGTGGGGAAGTAGAAGGCATACCTAAAGACATGCTGGCAATTTGATCAGGAAGGAAACCATAGACAACAGGCTCCTTAGTGTGGAAAAATGGAACAACAGCACCTTCCCGTGGCTGAGTCGACCACAGCCTCCAGATGCCGGAAATGAAAAGGAGGGAAGCCCTGCACTGTCTGTTTACTGTTTGTTAATTGTATAACAGCATCGAATGTTTGCCATATATGTATTCTGTAATCCGTTCTGAGTCCCCTCGGGGAGATAGAGCAGAATATAAATAAAGTATATTATTATTATTGATATGTTATTTGTTGACTTCCTTTCATCGAAATCTGTTTTTGCCACAATTCAGCTACAGCAGAGATTTTCCTTAGATTCCTTCACTAGTCTAGTCTTCAAAAATATCCTTTAATCAAATATAAAAATAAAAGAGAATTGCAGAAAGGAAGAGAAATCATATATTTCTTTCATAACTTGGATCTGGGGAAAATGATTAATTACATTTATGTGAGCACATTTCTTCATTCCTAAACATATTATATATTTTGCATCACTGTGGAAGCCATTTTATAGTTTAAGTCTTGCAAATCGCTGCATATTATCTCAGTAGTTCTCTAATACTGCTAAATACTTCTATCTTCATACCTTTCTCCAAGTAACATATTTAGGGGGAAAATGTTCTGACTTGTTCTCTGCAACTTCTGCAAATGGGTAACATATAATAAATAGCTATATTTTAAGTGGGTAGGGTTTTTTTTTTAATAAAAAAGATATATCTACCTACCAATCCACCCATGTCAGTTCCCAATATTGTGTCACATTCTCTAGTGTGTCAATACACAGTGTGACATTAAGATGGCATAATAAAGAACAGAAGGGCTGATGGATTAATAGTTCAGGTAAAAATAAAGGATATATGTGGAAGATATTATTTTCTTTTAAAATTTTCTATATGAAGAGAGGCTTCTACTATTTTCTTCTTCATGGTACAAAGTACTTTGAATCACCCCCACTCTTTTAGCAGTGGAGATGAGAGGCAGGGCCTTCTCAGTGGTGGCCCCTCGGTTGTGGAACTCCCTCCCTAGCAACATCAGAGCAGCCCCGTCCCTATTAGCCTTTAGGAAAAGAGTCAAAACCTTGCTCTGTGGGCAGACCTTTGGAAACTACAGTATTTTGAATGAAAATCTTGTGCAATTTGACCTTGGAACGGACCCAGACCATGAACTTTGGATGGCGGGTTTTCTAAGTTTTTGATTTTAATTTGTTTTAACTCTGTTTTAATATGTTGCAATTTTTGAAATATTTAGGTAATTGTGTTGAGGCATGACGTGTGTGCCACTGTAAGACACCTTGAGTCCCCCTGTCGGGGTAGAGAAGGGCAGGGTACAAGTATGGCAAACAAACAAACAAAGAAATAAATAAAGAGCAACACAGCTTTCCTACTTCAACAAAAAAACAGAGACAGGTCAAAAAGTTGAAGCTCAGCCCTTCATCTGCAGTAGTAGTTCTCCATTTTGAGCACAAAAAAGCATTTTAAAATGCCATGTATTGTGACAAATCTGTCAATACCTGGCAGTGGGCATAGGGAACCCATCACCCCATGCTCTGCATCACCCTGCGTACCCCTAACCTTATCACACAAAGGGAAGCATCTGCTGCCCAGCTTCCCCCCATTGTTGCTAATGCAACATGGGAAGCCTCCTGTATTGCCACTGTGGCAGCATATGCTAGTTCCTCTTCAGGTTTGCTATGAAGCCCCGCTGGAAGGAGCTGTATGTCCTAGAATGGGAGCCAGTGGGCTCTATAGCAAAACCGAAGAGGAACTGGCATATGCCTGTCTGATGAGGTCATAACATAGTGAAGATCATTCAACTATCATTTTAGAGCAGGGGTCCTCAAACTAAGGCCCAGGGGCCGGATACGGCCCTCCAAGGTCATTTACCTGGCCCTCGCTCAGGATCAACCTAAGTCTGAAACAACTTGAAAGCACACAACAACAGTGACAATCCTATCTCATCAGCCAAAAGCAGGCCCACACTTCCCAATGAAACACTAATAAGTTTATATTTGTTAAAATTGTTCATCATTTTAATTATTGTATTGTTTTTAAGTATTTTTGAACTACAAATAAGATATGTGCAGTGTGCATAGGAATTCATTAATTTTTTTTTCAAATTATAATCCAGCCCTCCAACAGTTTGAGGGACTCTGACGTGGCCCTCTGTTTAAAAATTTGAGGACCCCTGTTTTAGAGAGTGGGCAGATGAAGATGTAGCATCAGTTTTCATAGACTGCAGACCTGTCTACAATGAAGAAGTAATACAGGGGCCCCAGATTCCATCCAGATGACTTCCAGTTCTTAACACGGGGTAAAACCAGTTAACTCAATTCCATCCCTCATTAGGAAAAAAGGGAAATCCTTCGGGATGTGCCAATAGGTCAGGAACAACCCCTAACTTAGTTTGTGCATGAACTTCTGGGGTGGTCTTTATTCAGAATTGAGGCTATTCTTCACATGGGTCAGTTCCACATTCCCACAGTTACATGGGTGCCTTTGTTTGTTTCATTGCAAACCATGGGGGCCAGGATATGTGATGGGGAAGCATCACTGCAGGTGCCCCACTGTTCTGCTTATTTGCCACGGAGGTTGGCGAATCACCCTGTGGGATCTAAGAAGGCTAAACCTTTGAATCATTTAACTTGTTCTGCATTTTTTCACTTCATTCTGCTGCATCTGTGGATGACGTTTTGAAAAAAGAACCCAGGATAGGATTATGGAATTCTTATAAATAGGATAAAATGTGGGTTTGAGAAGAGGGTTTGGAAAAAACCTGCCCACTGCCCAAGATAAGAAAGATTCCCTAACTGCATCCTTTATTTCATCTTAGAAAAGCTTCCTTATATTGGGTAAATTAAGGTGCTGCACTTTGGATAAATATTATCCTAAGAATCAAAATAGCTATACAAAATATCAAGACACCCCACCCCCACCCCCAAAAGGAAGGAAGGAATATACACAAATAGATACAATTTCTAAAGCATTTGAGGAAAGTCTTTATCAACATAAAGTTAATATTTCTAAGCAAAAACTATTTGTGACAAAGTTGACAAAGTTATTTTTATGACAATTTCTTTTGGCTGTGTTGGCTGGGAAAAATCAGGGAGTTGAAAACCAAAATTGCTCCTTTTCCAAGTTTTGGGACAATTTATTTCCTCCGCCATTTAGGAATTGCTTTGGTTTGCAGGAGGAGAGAAGTTATTTCAAACACTCTAGGAACCAAGTTTTGATGAAGGACTCTTGATAAAGAGTTTCCTTAAAATACAGCGAGAAGAATCACATGTCTTCTCAGCACCCCATTACTGGGTGGCCTGCCACCAACAACAGGAACCCGATTAGTGAGGCAAGAGTGCATCTCTTGCAGAAACCACATTGCACTCTTAAGTTATTCATGGTATATGGGAATTCCCTCAGTAAATACCCTGCTAATTGTAATCACTTTGCTACTTTATAAAAGCAGAGGGTTACTATTTACTCTTTCTTATAGTATTACATATAATCCAGGGATGAAGAAAAATGCTTTGTGCAGGAAACAAAATGTTTTGCTAAGAATGGTCATTCCTTTATATTTGCATATATATGTATATATATATGTATGTATGCATATTTCAATCATGCACAAATCAAAATAGATGCACATATGGTACAATACAAAGAGGCTTGAGTTTAAACTGTATATACAAAGTCACTGAGAAATATAGTAAAAAACATTACTGAGAAGACATTTAAAAGAAATGTGTATTATAAAGAAAATAGACTGAATTTATCGAATGACGATAAATTTTTAAATTCAGGAAAAATTACACAGGATCAAATAATAATTCAGTGAATACATAAGAGTACAAAAGGTTACAACATTTATATTACAGAATGAAGAGGAGACAAACAGTGATTTTAGACAAATTAACAGCAAAGAAAGCCTGGCAGATTGCCAGGATGCCATGGGTAAATTTTCTTTGCTTATGAGAAAAGGGCAGGAGAGAGAAAGAGAGACACGCACACACATAAGCACAGGCATACAAACAGAAATCAAATAAAACACGCAGAACAATTTACATTAACAGATGATAGACAGACACAGAAGTGTGAAAATTTGGCATGTTGCATCACAGGAAGTCATTCACGATTGGCTAACGATGGTACCTGGCTCGGGTGTGGATCGCTCGCTTGCCTGAGAGGAGTAACAGAGGGAGGAGGCACACCTGATGTGGATGCAGATCGTCCCAATCTGCAACTTGCTTTCGGCTCTGGAAAGGAAAAGCAGTGTATTAGAGAAAGAATCCCATTGTCTTTTTTCTAAGCTCAGAGTAAACAGGAATTGCTAAGACCACCTTTTTCATGATGCCCACAACTTCATTTTCTCCCCATATTCTCAACAGTAATGTGCTGTGATGATCAAAAAAGCCAATGCAATTCTAGGCTGCATCAACAGGACTATAGTGTTAGATGGAGAGAAGTAATAGCATCACTCTGTTTTTCTTTGGTCAGACCTCACAGGGAATACTTTGGCTTGTTCTGAGCAGTGAGAATCACCATTCAAGATGAATATTGAGAAGCTGGAACGAATCCAGAGAAGGATGACCAATGTAGTAAAAGGCTTTGAAACCAAGTCCTGTGAAGAGCATCTTAGGAAAGTGAGTTGATTAGAGAAGAGAATATTTAGAGGTGACATGACAAACATCTGAAGAGATGTCATGTATAAGATGAAGAAGGGTTGTTTTCTACCACAGAAGGTGGTAGACTCTCTTTTTAACTGAGAATTTTTTTTAAAGTACTGATGTTTATATTTAATCCTGTTTAAATGTTTGCATATTGTTATATATTAAATTGTATACTAATGCTTTTCTGTTAAGCAGCTTTGGGTCTCCTACAGGAGAAATAAAGCGGGGTATAAATAAATATAATAATACCCATGGACATTTTAAGTTTGATGGCCAATTATCAAGAATGTTGTGAATATTTACATGGCATGGTGTTTCATTAAATGGCCCTTGCAGTCCATTCCAATTCTATAATTCCAACAGTTCTCAACCTCTCTTTTAAAGGGAGAACCTTAGAAAATCTTTTGACACTTTACTTTAGAGTCTGTAGAGGGGATCCATCTTTTTCAGGTTTGCTGTTATTCCATTCCATTTACCCAAAAAGCCATCCTGTCACACACTTACTCAGTAGCTTTTGCCTGCCAACATGCACATGCTTTATGTAATGTCAAAAGTAAATCCATTAAGATAAAGGGTGATTGCGAAATGTTTTCCATCAGTCAGTGGAAGAAAAGCTCTCTGAGGATGCAAATAATTGCCACATATTCCATCTATGTGATAGATTTAAATCTTTCCCCCCTCCTTGTTGAGATCTGTTTTGTAAATCCTAATCTTAATTTGACTCAATCATTTGGCTATTTATAGTTACTTGACACAATTGTGGATTCGATAGCTATATATGTTGCAGACAGTGGCCTTAATTCATGTAAGCCCACTGAATCAATGGAATTTTCATAAGTGTTGGCTTACCAAGTTCCCATTTATTCAGTGTTTTTATTCTCACTGGGACTAATTGGATTTAGGCCAACATGTCTTGCTTGAGAACTGCTTATGTGCAAAAACTACATGGCTTTGTTTACCAACTTCTGAGTTGTTTTTCTTCATTTAAGGAAAAGTGGGAAATGTCATTTTCAGTGGGGCATGGGCAACATCATGAAAGATTATCACATCTTTACCACCAAACCCCCTTTCATCTGACATCAAAGAAATAGCATACACCATACTCAGAGACAGTGTGAGTTTCCTTTTACCTGTGTTGCTTTATATCTCCAACATGATGTGACTACTGAAATAAGCAGGAGTTTCTAGGCTAATAAGTTTTCTCATCTAAGAAGTCTCTCTTTAATGATCTAGTGCATTATCACAGCAAGCTCTTCCTTACATTAAGAACTGTGTGTGATTTTCATTTCTTATTTTTAATACTATTTCTCTCTAAAGGCATAAATTATAATAATACAAAAAAGAAAACATGTCAAATGTTATTGCGAGTGCTTTTGGATAGAAAGAAGAACTACACTTTCTTTATGGCAACAATCTCAAGTGGGCTCACTCACATTCAAGATCCAAAATGCTTGTGCTATAATCCCTTCAACTGTACATAATAAATAATAGGATTTGCCTCACAGTATAGAAATACAAGGGAGTTCGATCTGCGTGAAAAGAGTAGGATTGTGCAATGCTAGTCAAAGGTCTTATCACTAGCCTTAAAACATGCTAGTTGGTTAATTTTGCAATTGCTCCCTTGCACCTGCAATCTGCATAATGCCAACAGATACTGCTTGAACTCAGAGGCAAATGGTTTGCCAGGCTTTTCCTCAAATGACCTTTCAGATCTTAGGAGACAATGGCTGGCATCAACAGGAGAAGCTACAGCCAGAGTGCAAATGAAAATAGCGGGCTCTATGCCCTGTTGATTTTATTAAGGTGATCAAACCACCACCTTGATAATTAAGGCAAACCTGTAAAAGAACACAGGTTCTAGTTACAGGTGGAACATCATATCCCAAACACCAGAATTATCTGTCGATATTTTTTTTTGTAGCTCAAATCTACTTATATTGGTAGACTTCATACCCAGTCTACTATATTCACCAGAAACAATATACTTCATTGGGATGTGTGTGTGTTTTAATACACAAAGGCATCCTGATTTCATATCTTACTGGCCTAATAATCTATTACACAGGCATAGAGCACTTTTTCAGGTTTGTATAATGGTGGTAAGTCAAAGAAATTTGTCTCACTACCATGCAAAGCTTCTAAATCCTGAAAAGGCTTGTATTTGAAGTGCTTGGTTTTGAGGTAACTTCTCAAAGTAGGAAGTATGTCTTGGAAAATTGCCTGTCCCGCCTAGGCAATTTTCCAAGATAGCCTTCCTAGACTGTCTTTAGCTTCAAAGACCCATCTTGAAGCCAAACATAGCAGAAGTTGATCAAGAGCTGGGGGTTTCAATCCCAATCTGTGGGTATGTGCTTTGTTTTCCATATTTCTTAGAATATTTTAGTTAGAACTAGTGTTGATTCTGTCTCTGTAGCCTGAAACAGTATCCTCCCGCCATCAGTCCTAGCTCTCCTGCTTGCCTAGCAGTACGAAAGCAGCATTGTGAGTAGATAAATAGGTACTGCTTTTGCAGAGAGGTAAACAGCGTTCAAGGACAACATACTCTGTGGCTTGGAAAAATTTAACAACAGCACCTCCCCATGGCTGAGTCGAGCACAGCCTCCAGATGCCGGAAATGAAAGAAAAGAGAGAAACCTTGTTTCTGTCTATGTACTGTCTGTCTTTGTTAATTTGTAAACGACATTGAATGTTTGCCATAAATGTATTCTGTAATCCTCCCTGAGTTCCCTCAGGGAGACAGAGTGGAATATAAATAATAATAATAATAATAATAATAATAATAATAATTATTATTATTATTATTATTATTATTATTTTACTGACACAAAACCACAGCAAACGAGATCTATATGCTTATATTATTATTATTATTATTATTATTATTATTATTATTATTTTCTCAAAAATGTATCCAGATAAAAAGTTGGGGCAGAAAAATAGAATATAAATTGAATAAATAATTTTTTAAAAAGATGTATCAGTCAAAAGCACAACCAGCTATGCATGGTACCAATATAGCCATGGACGGGCTCTCCAGTGGGCACTCCCAGTTTGTGAGTTCCTGATCTGACTGTGGATTGTCACACCCCATTCCTAAAATGGAGGTGATGTGCACCATCATTTAATAACATGACTATCCACATTTTTTTGCTATGTGTGTTTGTGTGTGTCTCAAACCCCAGCAAATCTGGAGGGCTCACTGTATACCTTCACACAGAAAAGTTTACCACCTATTCCCCCCCCCCCCCAAAAAAAAATCAGTTGTAACTATGTCTTTCTCTTCTGTTTTGAGAAGACTAAAATAGATGATAGGCTTAGCATACATTTAGAAGAGGTTATTCTCGCAAGTAGTAAAAGACTGTCCTATGTTATGCGTTCTCTTATCTAATCATTTTGCATTTATTTTGCATTTATTTTGTAAGTAAGTCATCTGTAGATTGAAAATTGTTGTCTTGCCACTCCAAAACAGACACCTGAACAGAGACAGAATTCTGCAGTGAGATACTAAAATACCTTTGGAAAATGAACTGCAAATGTAAACTGATCCTAGTGCCTTATATTACATAGCAGCATCATTACTTCAGTGCAACCTCTCTGAAGACGCTTCATTTTACTGACAAAAAAGCACTTTTGAAGGGGACAAGAAACAGTCCCTATTTCTCCTTATTTAAAAGACCAGAGCCTTGCTGTCTTGCCAGCAGAGGGAGGCAACGGCCAAGATTATGATAGCTTTCACTGCTTAGTGGGCAAAGACTCATCAGCTCAGATATCAATCTGCCATTAGTGGCAGATTGTCTAGCAGTGACAGGAGAAAGGTTGGGTCTATACCAAAGAAGGTGAAAAGTCATTTTTTTCCTGTATAATTTCTAGAATCCTCAGGCAACATAGTGGCTGAAGAACTCTGGGAGTTGTGGTACAACAGTAGAACTTTCTCGACATCTGGCCAATATAGAAAAGTCTTTCCAGATACCTAACAAGTGAATGGAAAGAGATTGTCTATTCCACTCTTATCTTGAGTGAGGGGATCTCAACAGTGTCTCTATAAACCTCAATGCTGTGGGTTAAGTGCTTCTGAATACATCATATAGTAGTTATATAGCTTCCCACAATCTACACATGGGGCAATCTGACTGTGTGGTCATATATTTTGGAAATCTTCCTTGTAACTCCTACATTTCAATGCCTAAAAGTTAGTTGCTTGCAGCATACAGAAGATAAATTGGAAATAGAAATCAAGGGAAATAATATGGTGGGAGGGCTGGCTCCAGGTTTGAGGCCATTCTGGTCAAAATGATGGTGATGGTGATGGGCTTTCTCCTTTGTCACCTTTGTGCTCCCTGAAATTGGCTCCCCTGAAATAGAAGGCAGAACACTCAACGAGAAAGCAATGGATGCTTTGGAATTGCCATGTAAATTCCTCCGCCAAGACCCTACACTTGGAAGGCAATCATATTCGGCCATGAGTGATAGCCCATGATGATGACGATGTGCAAAAGAAAAGGAGGAAAATTGAGGGAGTAGATCTAAATTCTAATCCAAGATACCACCAAGGTAAAGGCTGTCTCTCTATAGAATCAGTTCATTTTGCAATAGCTGGCATGAACCATTAACTTATTTCTACATTGGACATCTTGATTAGTCTCTCTAAGCATGGCAAGAACACCTGCTACAATCCCCACTTCTATATAAGCATTCAGGGTTCAAAAACCCTCTCTAGTTTTCACTCTGGCCGCACTGACAGAAGCCAAAATGAAATCTGTTTGATAACAGAGAAGGAAATGAAGACAGACAATTCCCTCTGGGTTTTAAATGAAACCACCCAATTTACTCTGCTTGTTTGTGATCTACAGGAGTGAGCTGAGCCAATATCTCAAGCATCCTTTTTTGGCAATGATAGTACCTCAGTAATATATTAAGTTCATTCTTCTGTAACCCAAATAAGCTTTTAAAGTATGAAACTGTATTCTGGTTGCAACATTTGTCTGCCCAGTTGCTAAATGATTTGGGAAAGCAACAGGCTTGTGTGATGTTGGGAAATGAAAAATAAAATCCCCCAGAAATACCAGGTGTGTTTTTAAAAATTGTGATGTAGTTCATTTTTCCATCAGTAGATGGCAATGCAAAATTTTTCATTGGAATAAGGACAGCAGCCTTCTGGAAAATGTGCTTTGCAACACCCAGAGTGAAGCTGGATGATGCTTCCTATTTCGCAGACCCCCTGCTGTGGTTCTTCACTGAAATAGCGGTAGCATGTTTTCAAGGCTGCTGTGTGTAAAAACCCCTCACAGCTACTCCTCTAAAAAAGCCTGAAATCACTGAGGATGAGAAATGTCCCTGAGAAATTATCTGATATGTGGTAAGGACACAGAGAGCGATGGAACATAATAATAAACATCCTATTCAAGGTCACTGTAATATTTACAAACTCAGAGAGCAATGGGTTTACTTACAAAGACATACTACAGTATAACAATATATACTTAGAAACAATTGAACCTAATGAATTGAATTAGATAGTTTTAGCAATGGATTCATCAAAAGAAGGGTGAAGGTGAACATAGGTAAGTGTATGTGTGTTAAGGAAATGAGGGGACTGCTCTTCCTAAGAAAAATATGGCATGCCTCCATGAAGTTTCCCTTCTATCTCCAAATGTCTAGCATTGCAATGAATTAATCATTCGGTTGAACATTTAGAAATATAGGACAGGCAAAGTTATTAGAGGAAGGCAAACATGGTGAATATAAAAGTTCTAAGTGAGGAACATTTTCAATGTGTCATTCTTTGCAATGATAGTAATGTGAAGACTGGTGGCAATTTCATTGGGAGGCAGAATTTCTATTTGGGGCAGCACTCTCATTTTGTCCCCTAGGTAGCTATACCCTTGGCAATGGATAGGTGTGCCTTGCAATGGAAGAGGATTTGGAGAGGGTATGGATGTGTGCCTTGTTTTCCTGTTACAGAGAACAAGAGAACCAGTATGAATGCCCTGTGTCCTGCTGTGCAGGACTACTAGCACCAGCTGGGTACTGCTGAGCTGTTACAATGCTCAGCTGTAGAGTTCCTGACATCCCTCCATGCAGCAAGCAGGGCAAACTGCAGAGACTTGGCAGAGTGAGAAATGCCAAAAACTATCACAGTGTTTTCAATTTTTTAAAAAGGAATTGCTTCCCACACTCTGGATTTTACTGGGAGTTTCAAACTGTAGTAGATATTGTGGAGCTTTCATGCATTTTCTGAATGAAGGGCTCAACAAGAACATATGGCAAATATTTTTGTGGTTTTTCATTTCCATGGGAGTCCTGTAGCCCTAAACACAGTGAATGTGGATGGTTGGCTAATAACAATTAAACCTTGCTCTGACAGATCATGATGTGGACTACAAAAAGTCAAGAGGCTGCTGATACTTGTTTCATTTTGTTTAGTATTCAATTAATAGAGTACTTTTTGCTTGCATATATTTCCGAATTCCAGCCAACTAACAAAAGTGTATTAAAAACTAACTTATTTGCCTTGAGGTCATCGTCTTGTATGTTAACCCTATCCTACTTTATCCAGATGATAGCAATTCACTGGTTCAGTATTTGAAACAGGCAGGATTCCTAGTTGTCCTAAATGCAGTTTTCTTTGTTTTAGCATTCCAGCACATTCTACCCAGAGTGGAGGCACTTGAAATTACTGGGAGCAATGAACAGTTCAGAATAAACTATGGTGAGTGTTGGATTATGGCCTCATTGATTTTAACTTGAATCCATTTGCTGTCATGAAATGTAAATTTAGGATGCATGTTACTTTGCATTGTGTTTTAGGAAGTGCCTTGTGTAAAAGGGTCCTTATGGGATGGGGAGCTTATACACACTCATCAACAGAACTGACACACAATGTAAGAAAAACACTTACCTCTTACTGGATCAGTTCCCATTGATGAGTGTGTGTAAGCTTTCAGTCTTCTAATTTAGGTAGAAATCGCTTTAGCAAGATGCATCACCTTACCTATTTTGTCTCTGGTGTTCTGGGACCAGCACAGGAGTAGCACTATATAACAAACAAGAGAATTTTGTTCAACACAGTGGGTATATTTTCTTATTGATTCTGTTTCACTCTATGGAACTCAAATGTTTTCGAGTCCTAATACAAACGTTCTCTAAGAAGCTGGAAAACTGTGTGTTCTTATTGCAGTTATTACTGGTTGCTTCCAAATCTTCTCTGAGTTTTTGTCTAAAATTACTAGGATTCAGTATTACTGATTGTTCTTTTCAATTTCTACTCTACACAAGAGTGGATTTGTTTTTGAAATGGATACCACCAGCAACCAATGATAAAATTGCTGTAATCCTTCCTTGCAATCTCCTCCAGCCCAAAAGAAATATTGTAAAGAGGGAAGGAATCTTTAAATTTAAAATTCTGGACTATTTTGCAAAGAAAAAAACCTTTCTAGACCCTTTCTAAAGAATGATAAATACCTTATAAAGGAGAGTCTTTGCAAGGATGTGAAGACAAAAATTAAATCACATTACCTTCCTACTTCCCCCAAAACTTCATCTTGCTTTACATTGAGGAAAATAAGGGACTCCCCGAAATCAGCTCAGTTTTGCCTTCTCAAATTAAAGGGATCATTCAAACCAGAGCTTGGAAAAATATTTTTGACCCTCAATTCAGAGGTTATCTAAGCTCTTGTTCAAAGAGTCCAGTTGGTTTTATGGAAAAGCAGAAGAGCATTCTCACAGTATTGTTCTTTGACTAAAACTTCCAACAGAGATTGAGAAGAAACAACTACTCTGGTTAATGTCTCATTTGCTGATTCCTCTATAATTATATGTAACCAATGAGAGCAAAAGTAAGTGATATTTCACATGCAATCCTATATTTGACTGCTGACAGTTCGAATCTGCGGAGTGGGGTGAGCTTAATTAAGTTTTATTGAAAACTTAATAAATATTATTTTTTTAAAAAAGAATGTGCGGAGTAGGGTGAGCTCCCATCTGTCAGCTCCATCTTCTCAAACGGGGACAGGAGAAAAGCTTCCCACATGTATAAAGTCTAAAACATCTGGGCACCCCCTGGGCAACGTCTCTGCAGATGGCCAATTCTCTCACACCAGAAGTGACTTGCAGTTTCTCAAGTCATTTCTGACATGAAAAAAAACACCTTTCCTGCCCCCAGCATGGGGGCGGGGAAGCACTTTGCTCCCTTCTGGGGAAGGAAAGACAAAGAGTCCCAGCCAGGACGTCCTGTGGGCTGGGCCAAGGAGTGGTGAGCCAAGCTCACCTCATTTGGCCCGAAGAAGTTGGCACCCTTGTTGGAGGATGACATGGTCATGTGGAGTTACCACCTCGTCTGATTAATAGCACATTCAAGTTCAAATTCATGCTAAAGTTCAAATTCTTGTTCAAGTTCATGCTGAATCACAAATTGAATTTGATGATCACACAGACATTGACTGGTAACATATAATAAAAGTTGCCCATATTGAACCCACAACATGGTGTTGTCTGGTGATTTCACCGGTTGGAGAGCATAAACCCTTGATCTATGTAAAGAACGCTAGATAATATATATGGGTCACCCCTTCACTCCTCAACATTTTTGAAGCCTAAATGCAATTTAGACTAGAGCAGACCCACCAAGTCCACTCCTAAATTGTAATCAACACTTGCATAAATCCTACTGATTTAATTGGTCTAATTGGGAGTAGCAATTGGATTTCGCTACTGATTATTTCCGTCACATAGTCATATATGCAAGTACCTGATTGCTAGAGAAAGGCAAGCTTCCTCTTTCCAATAGGTTTGCCAGGTGAGACATAGGACAGGGTTCCTATATCTGTAATGGTTGTTTAGATGACAGAATTTCAGCAAGTCATTCTTGCATAATATCTGTGCTTGGCCATGTAGAAGGTAGAACTGAATGAAAACTAAACCTTCTGAAATTCCCTCTTCTAAAAAAAACATTAATGATACCAATGCCCTGTCCTGTATTTAATCACTCAAGTCCTCAGAACACATTTCTATGCCAATTCCACATTCATAAACCTCTCCCACTCATCCTCTAACTCAGAGTTTCTTAAACTGTGCTCCTCCAGATGCTTTAGACTTCAGCTCCCACAATTCCTAACAGCTGGTAAGCTGGCTGGGATTTCTGAGAGCTGAAATCCAAAACACATGAAACAACAGTTTGAGAAACACTGCTCTAACTCAATGGTTCTCAATATTTCGTCATGATATTTGACACTTTAACTCCCCAAAGCACCTGCCAGCATGATCAATGGTCAGAGATTGGGGAATTTTAATTTAAAGATGGACAACAGTTCAGAAACAGTGCTTTAGTTTATTCATCCCCCCTTCTGCAATCACTTTCCTCAATCTTCTTTAGACATATCAAGCTGGGATAATAGCAGGGTTGCCAGTGAGGAAAGAAAACAAAAAGGGAGAAATTCCTACTGAAACATTTGGGTCTGTTGTACTAGGGGCAACCTAGATAGAGCAAAATATCTCCATTTTTTTCCCATCTAGACACAAGGTTGCTGTCCTTGCTGTTGCTCTTGTAATAAGAAATTCAATGTGCAGATTTGATAAATGTGAATTTAATATGCTGTGTGGGAATGAATGGAAGATGAATGTATGGATGGAGCTAATAATTTTGGAAACACCAGTAAAAGACCCAGGCCTACAATGACTAACTACCTCCTTGCTGGACTGTAATTAAAAGTTGATAATAAGAACTGAAAAGTAAACTCTGATAAGAACTGGACAGTGATAAGATAAATGTTTACAGTGTTAAGAAGGAAGTCAACATAAGATCAACACCAATCAAGAAGAGTCAACATCTGACCGGGAAACTGAGATGGAGTCAGGATGTAGTCAACTTTGCGACTACATCAGCAGAATATTCCTATAAAATACTCTGTCTAATAATGCTCAAATTGTGGCAGACCTGAGGAGTCTGTTCCACCCACTATGCTCTGCTCCGTGGAAAGGAGAGAGATAGTGTACGTATGGAGAGTGGCAGATTTGCACGGGAGCAGTCTGGTCACTTTGGGGCTTCTTTCTCAAGGGAAGAGGAAGAAGTGCACTTTTGGAGTCTTAGATTTTGTGCAGGGAGTCAGGTTCTGCTGTATGGAAAAGAGAGATCTGGTCCTTGGCATTGTTCTTAGGGAAAGAAGTTTTGGCATTTCAGCGTTTTGAAGTTATGGCATTATGTATGTTATGAAACTATAGGTTGGCAGGCTGCAGGAAAGCAAGATCTGGCCTAACAGGTGCTTCTCCAAGGAGGGAGAAAACGATATGGTAATACTTTGGACGCATGTGGATGAATGCGTGTACATGTGTGTGAATGTTTTCCCTTTAAAGGTGAATCTGTGCTGCAAAATTATTGCAATTTGATATTATTTAACCAGCATGGCTCAGTGCTGCAGAATCTTGGATTTGTAGTTTGATAAGACACCAGCACTTTTTAGCAGAGAAGGCTAAAGATCTTGTAAAACTACAGCTTCCATGATTACATAGCATTGAGCTATGGCAATTAAAGTGGTGTCAAATTGCATTAATTCTACAGTCTATCTGTATCCCAAAACCTAATAGACTCACATAAACATACAAGGGAAAGAATCTATAAAGGCAGTGATCATAATGCTTGGATATGTTGTCGTAACCTGCAAGAAAATAATTTGTAGAAAATGGAAACCTCCATTCTTGCCTTGATCTGTTGCATCTGATGTGAGTTATTGTTAGAGTGTCAGCAGTGTGCTAAGTGAGACATGGCATGTATTCTGACAGAACAACAACTGCATACTTATTTTGTTCTTCTGCATTTCCTTCTGCATTCGCACTTACCCGAACTATTATTTCCCGCCAACATGGTTGGACTAACAGAAGACCTTCCAAGTCTGCTAGACACAAGTGGTGGTCCTGGTGTCCCATCCCATTCCTGAGCTTTTATTGGCTCTCTGGAAGATGCCCCGTGGTGACCTCTTTCTTTGTTTTCCAGCTTTGGTAGTGGCTCAGTGCTGTGGCTCCTGATCTTCAGTTCATCTAATGGTTCTGCAAAATAAGCAATGGTCACAATCGATTACATAGTGGACAAATTGATGAGGTCAACAATCTTTGTTGCCCTTTCTCCCATTTTAGCATGTTGCTAACTGGACCTAATTTTAAATGAATAAAATAATGCAGGGATGTAATAACTGATTATTTTAAACACATTTTATAACTTATATGTGCACTCTATGTCAGAATAGTTGAGAGTAATTCAAAGAATTCCTGATATAAACAGAAGTTTGCAGTAAAATTATTTATGACAATATAGAAGATAACAATAGGAAATATATATAGAGCAAATGTATGGGTCTTCCCTATGTTTGTTCTCCAAAGAAGGCATGGGGCACTTAGCTCTTCCTGATATTTCCTTATCATAGACAATGCTGAGTGAGATGGATAAGAATTGTTGGTCAAAGTATCCAAAGAGGCGGAGGTTTATCAATTTCACCCTATGGAACACTTCTACTCAATATATTTGGCTTAATTCAAGATTGGGAAACTGCATTGGCCCTCCATGGGACCTTGAGAGTCCATAACTGCTGTTGTGACAGCACTGTGTGGACAATCTCTAATGTTTAAAATTCGTTTGGACCAGATGGTTCCTTTGCCCTTTTTTGAGCTGAAAGGAGCGATGTTCCCATATTTGAGCTGAAGGAGCAATGTTCTCCGGCAATTTGAGGCCCAGAAGAGTCCCCCTATTTTTGTAACTAGAAGTTAACTGGAAAAGTCAAGCAGCATTTGTCCCAAAAAAAACACCAGAAGGGGGGGATCCTCAATTTTTGCTTACTTTTGGTATAAAGATCTCATCAGATAGAGATCTAGAAGCCAAAGGACAGCAGTGGAAACCATGGGATAGTTCCCAGCTTTGTCTCCTTACACTGGCTGCCACCCCGCAGTGTTTTTTGGTTGTCTCTGGCTTCCTCTCATGCTGTTCCTGGCTTCTAAAATGAGGATACAGGTAGTCACCCATATGCTCAGGGGTTCCTCTTGTCAAGCTGCTGGGATGTAGCCTGGATGCAGCCCTGCTGGAAGTAGCCCTGCATCATAAGATGGGCTCCAACGGACTCCATCCTGGTTCTATCTCAGGAGAGCTAGGATGCCCCCCCCCCATAAGATGAGGTCCTTAGTGACAAACAGAAAACATGCTCTAAATATTGAACACCAAGTTGATAAAAGAAAGCAAAGAAATGTGTGGTTCTATGTCTTCAAGTTGTTTCCAACTTACGGTGACCCTAAGGGTATCTTTGGCAAGGTATGTTCAGAGGTGAATTGCCATTGCTTTCTTCTGAGCCTGAGTGAGTGTGGCTTGCCCATAATCACCCAGTAAATTTCCATTGCTTAGTACAGATTCAAACTTTAGTTTTCAGAGTTGTAGTTTAATGCTCAGACCATTATACTATTTTGGCTCTTGCAGCCAAAGAGATAGTGCACATTATTCAATAATAGGGAGGTATTAAATGTTGTCAGGTTGTCTGTGTGCAAGCTTTTTACAGCAATTGAAGCATTTAACTGGTTTTCTGGCCACTACTGATGATTGTGACCAACCTTTTGTGTTTTTCTTGCTATGTATTTAAGAAATAAAGGTGGGAAGTATCACTTCATTTGACCCTTTTCTTGACACACACCACTAGGAAAGGGGGAAAAGGATATTTGCAATGTAAAAAAGAGTAATGGGCAGAGATTTGTTCCAGTAACCCACCTCAGTTACACACAGTTAACCAGTTCAGCTAATCAGTTTGTGAATCCATTATTGGGTATAAGCACAGTTTGCAGTTGACAGAACAGTTAATATATTTACATGGTGAGCTTCATTTCTAAGGTTATCTAAAAACTGATAAAGCTAAAAGAAATGAAACAGTCTGGATCAGTCTGGCATCTCATGCATTCCATTCTTTGCCCAAAGAACACTGTTATTAGATGATAGGTATCAGGACACGAAAGCACATTCTTTTTTTTTTTAAGAACTACCTATTTTATATACCCTCTAAAGAAGTGAGGGAAAACACAAACCAGGGGAAATTACATTTTCAGATAATATCATTAAGGAGGTCTCTATTGTTTGTACATGTAGTGGTGAACTTTTCTCAGTTTTAATATTCTCAGATAAATATGAAAGAGATTTGCTGTGCCCATGCTTTGAAATTTCTTTATCATTTTATTTTCTGAGTTAAATTTATTCCTACCTCTAACAAACATGTATGTGCTGATATCCATAGCTGTATTTGCTATGGATATCAGCACATATTTATTTATTTATTTACACCATTTGTACCCCGCCCTTCTCACTCCCGAGGAGGGACTCAGGGCGGCTAACACAGGCAGCAATTCGATGCCACAATATCAGTAACAGAATATAAAATCATCATACATAGCAAACTTAAAAACAGTAACATGAATTAAAATCACATAATCACAAAGTCACATAGCTGTTTCCAATTGTCATAACAGTGTCTAAAGTGCTGCTGTGCCCACTAGCCAAAGGCCTGGGTCCAAAACAACGATTTTAGTTTTTTCCTAAAAGAAAGGAGGGAGGTCGCCGATCTGATCTCGCTGGGGAACATACATGTTTCCAACTTTCATCCCAGATGGAATAGTTAGAACTATCAAATACAGACAAGTATTTTGTGTCCAGTAACAGCCAATTCTATAGGTCACATCTGGTCTGCAGATATTAAGAAACTTCTGGTCCAAAAGTTGAAAATTGACATGGAATCCCTCCATCAATGTTAAATGATGCACCTCATATGTGATTGGGATGTCTAATGGTTGAGTGACGTATTTGCATTTCTTCAAAACATCATTGCATTTTTCTTGGGATAGAGGATGGCATTCACATTAGGGGTGTGCAATTCAGCAATAACCCATGCTATTTTTGGAGTCTGGTTTTTGACTGCCCCCTTGTTCCATTTTTAAGGAACTTTCCAATTTCAGTAAAGGTTTCTGTTTTCATGCTAGAAAGATTTGTCCATTAGGGAATAGGGAAACTATAGAGGCTCATTTCTCTGACGTTTTTAGGCCTATCAGCATAAAATTTGTCTCGCCTATAGGCCACATCTTCTACTGCAAGCCTGCCAAGTTTCAGAATGTTTCACCAATCTACTAATTTTTACCACATTTAAAAAAAACCACAAGAGGGGATTCTGGGAATTGAAATTCAATTCCAAGTGCATGCCACAAGAGGGGAGGAGGACGGATGGACACAGTCAACCAGGCCTCTGATTGCTAAGAAGGAAAGTGAGAAATACACAGAGAGAAAAACCTCAACTCACATCATGCCCTGGGAGGGAGCACAATGCTTGCACTGCACAAAGTGCTGCTGGGAAAATGAGTTCTCATTTGTCTCAAGCAGGCATGTCGGAGGAGGGCCTACAGGAAGGGATGGAGGAGTCTGCTGGAGAAGAAAGCAAAGGAGGAGCCACAGCTTTCCTGTTCAGCAAGGCTGCCCTGCCATGCCTATACTTCACCACCTCTGCCTCAGGTAGAGTGCTGCTCAACCCCATTAGCTGAAAGAAATCTGGCTGCTGTAATCTGTACTGGCTAAGGCTTCAGCTGCCCCATGCCAGGCTTATTTTCAAGCATTTGGCAACCAAATCTGCTGAATCATTCAAATCTGGTACACAAAAATGAAATCATGCATACCCCTAATTCACATACCTTGCAATATTTTACAGACAAAAACTGGGACACATGTGGCTAAGCAACACCAGAATGTGTTCAAGATAGCAAAACTTATTAATGAGATGCAATAGACAAGAGGCTGCAGTGATTTGCTTTTGCCTAACCCTAGTAGGAAGGGCAAGACTTCCCTTCTCCTTAGTCTCCCCTGATGAGTTAATTGAATACAAACCTGCACTTCGAATTTAGGGCCCTTCCACACAGTTATATAACCCAGAATATCAAGGCAGATGATCCACAATATCTGTTTTGAACAGGAAGTCCACACTGCCATATAATACAGTTCTATGTGGATTTTAGACAGTTGTGTGGAAGGGCCCTTACTTTGTAGCAATTGAAGTAAACTGAAAGTAAAGGGAGAAAATTGGGGAAGGAGAGAGAAATTTGGATATTTAAAAAGTAGGGCAGGAGAGGATTAATCAAGACTGTCCCTGCAAATTAGAACAATTGGAGGTTATGCATTTACCACCCCCAAATTGTTGGAGAATGTATCAAGAAAATTCCCTGATTGGCTAGGCTAGCCTTTCTTCACCAAGGGAGATTGGGATGGGGGGGGGGGGGGGGGGGGGGGGGGGGGGATATGTCTTTTAATAAATCTCAGCTCAGCTCTTTAAATCAAAATCAAACTGATAAATTGGAACTGAGGAAACACCTTATCTACAATTCTATCATTCAAATGAATATATTCTCCCAATTCAATCTGGCACCAGGCTCCTAAGCACATATTAATTCCAGAGCCTGGTTGTTATAATGCTGAGTGACAAACAGCAGACTCCTTCGAAAGAGGCAAACAAGGCACAATTGGAGGAACCGTAAATGAGGGCAACTCTCAGCGAGTCTTCTCTAAGTAGTCCAAAATGTATCAGATAATGATGCATGTATTATTCATTCATCTCCCTCCACCTGTTATTAATTCTAAATAAATCACACATCATCCTAACAGAAAATGTGTTTTTAAAAAGATAGGGTTACAATGAGTGTTTGTTTCTCCCCAAAATGCATTAATAATACTAAAGGTATTTTTGCACAGTGCTTGCAGCAAAACAAAGTCATGCTATACCAAGCTTTAGCATAATGTCAATTGAACCTTAACGAACTGTAAAACCAGTGCATTCGCAAGTCATTAATTGAATGGTTTCTGAGTAGTCCTCTGGGAGCAGATTTATACAGCCATTCAGAAAGTGGCAAATCGCTGTATTTTGTGGTTTATGGATTTGTGCATGATACAACCAGGCTTCTAAATGCTACTTCTTGTGTCACTATCATGATTCATGATGCCTTGGTTGTCAGACCTTGAGATATGTCAGATTCCGTGATCTTCTAAATTC